GACAGAATAATGCCGGAGTCCATGCCTTTTATGGCTCTGCGGTTGTCTCTCCCTGCCCTAGCTGCTAGAACACTCTTGCTTTTTTCTCACTTCTTCAGAAATCCACCTACTACTTCCTTAGTGCTAGCATTAGGAAAACGATCTGATTTATGCAATAAGAATATACCAATGAATAACTTACAGTCTGTTTTTAACATTTAGGATGCAATGTTGGCATCTTAAACATTGTGATGCTTTTCATTTCGTGACGGTTGTCTAATGATAGTTTACTGTTTTGTAGTACTATACATTTACATACATACATATATATTTATAAATATTTATATACATACACATTTCTTAATAAAATGATAGTTTTAAAAATACATCAAGTATTAGAAAAATATCCCCGTTTACTGTCCCTTTTACAGTAAGTACAGATATTTGGAGAACATTGCACTATATATGCTTTATGAAATTTTAGGTTAACAGGAAAGATTTCCATCTACTCTGTGGATTTTCTGTGTAACATTTAAGGAAGTAAGAGAGTAAGTGAGGGAGTAAAACGAAATAATCTTCCTGGGCCAAATAGTAAAGATATTCTTCATAAATAGAGGCAATAGCTCTATGTATTTATTATTTGAAACAATTATCTTTTAGTGGTGATTAATTTATGTTAATCCATATCTACAGTGGATAAGAATAGTCTCCTTTGGCTAATTTAACAATTCAATATATATTTGTTAAATGATTATTCTATGGAATAAACTATGCTAAGTACTACAATACATCAAAAAGATTATAAACTCTGATATAGTCCTTACTTTTCAGAAGCTTCAATTCTAAAAAGAGAGAAAATTATAGAAAATAAATGCAGTATATGTTTAGGTATTTTAAGAACAATGAGAGAAAACAACAGGCTATTGGAATTTGGGGAACTAAGTGTTAATAATGTATGGTTGGTAGAAAGAGGAAGAGATTTCTAAAGATTATATTATGTAAAATGACCTTGAGGAATCAGTAGCATTTCAACAGATGGAAATGGGGGAAGCATAGGGATTTCAGGAGCCCTGGAGCCCTGAAGACAAGTACCTACTGCCATCCCTGGTTCTCGTACCTCCCTGCTCAGAAACAGAAACACAAAAATAAAGTGGAACAAAACAAATAAATTAAAACTGCCTTGCCTCCTGTTGGAAGCTAGAGATCTTAAGTCCTGAGTAAGAAATAAAGGTGAGTGAAGCCATATTTCTGTAATCTTGGTGAAGGACTAAAAGCCCGATTCCTAAAAAGAAGTTTGCACCCCTTGGAGCACCTGTGGATGTCCTCACAACTGACCAGGCGGATCCTCAAGATAGAGTGCTGGACTGCCCTGACTCTTGCAGCTCCAGAAAGCTCCGATTATGATATTAACCCTTCTCCCGCCACAAAGGAGATGAGACCTTGGGCTAAGAATAGCATGCTTAAACTATACCTGAGAACACAAAACATCCACTCCACATCCTAACAGTTGTTTGTGTGTGTGTGTGTGTGTGTGTGTGTGTGTGAAGTAACATAAAAATAATAAGAGATATCATATAGGACAAAAAAGTAAATTTACTGTGCCAACCCAGAAGACTCAATCTCACTAGTAAGGGTTCTAAAAAAAAAAAAAAAAAAAAGAAAGAAAGAAAAAAGGAAGAAAGAAAAAAATATGGAGAGACAGTTTCCACAACTGAAGAATATAAGCCTCTAGATTGAAAGAGCTCATTGAGCACCCAACACAATGAATGAAAAGAAACACACACACAACCATTCAGGTTGTTAAATTCAGTTCTATTATTTCCCTTATTTATCTTCCCAAAGTAATTTCATCATAACTTTTTATTAGTCAATATTAATATTATATACACAAAGGCATTGCATGCTGTAATTTCAGAACACCAGAGATAAAATTGTAAAAGCATCCAGAAGAAATAAAAAAGAGACAAAACAAATCTAGGTCACATGTAAGTAATCAGACTTCTCAACTTTAACATGGAATAGTAAAAAATATTGTACCAAAGCTCTCAAAATTCTGATTAAAAGTCATTTTTTTTCAGCCTAGACTTCTCCACCCAACCAATTAAGTATGAGACAACAATTTAAAAATTTCCAGTAACATAAATGTACAATACAATATCACATATGTAACATTCTTTCAAAAATATTAAATCTGAATGTAATTATGAGAATAATCAGACAAATACAGAATGTGGGGTGGTGTACAAAACAGTTGGTTTGGACCACTCAAAAAAGTGGGAAGCAATAAAAGGTTGGAGAACTATGCTAGCTCTAAAAACATTAAACAGATATAATCATCAAATGCAATTCAAAATTCTTTATTGGGTTCTGATTTTTAAAAAATAGCTATGCAAGATTAAAATAGCTATAAAATTCACAAATGCTTGGGACAATTGTAGACATTTAACTAGGGACTTCACAGTAATGTGAAATTATTGTGATTTTTAAGGAGTAATAATATTATATTTATGTAGAAGAATGTCCCTACACTCAGGAGATAAAAGCTGAAGTATTTGGGGATAAAATATCATGTTTCTGGAACTAATTTGCAAATGGTTTCTTAAAAAAATGTATATATAAGGTAACACAAATAAGACAAAATGTCAATAATTGTTGAATCTAGGTGAAGGGTAGATGAGTTTCCATTGACCTCTTGTTCCAACTTTTGTATAATTGAAATTTATCACCAAAAAAACAAAAACAGAAAAGCTACAGTGAGTAGGGGGGGCAGTGTAAAGCTAAGCAAAAAAGAATCAAAATATTTTTCTCCAAAATGTCTCTTAATAGAGGTTATTGAAAGAGATGTTTCAGCAGGAAATTAAAGCAAGGAAAAGATGGAATCTGGCCAAAGGAAATTCAATACCAACAATAGTGAAAGAGGACTTAGGAAAACACTTTGGCCTTCAGGCCTAGAAATTCATCAATGTGGACCAGAATGCAATGACACGGTTCTTCCAGTCATAGTCTCCATGTTACACATAAAAACATTATGGATGAGCTGATGTCTTTGAATCTTAGAAATATTACTGCTAGTTTAATATGACCATTGGGACAACTGATGGAGGCATTTCTAAAAATTTGGAAAACCAAGAAAATAATAAAATGAATGAATAATTATCAAGTTTGGAAGAAAGGAAAATGTGTATGAGAATAAAAACAGAATTATATTAAATAATTCATGTCATAAGACGATACAATTATGTATCGTCACTCAATAATATTAATATTGACTAATAAAAAATTATGATGAAACTATATTGGGAAGATAAGTAAGGGAAATAATAGAACTAAATTTAACAACCTGAATGGACAGTCAATAGAAAATGACAAAATTTATAAATCCAACAACAATCACTTAGCTTTATTACCTAATAACACAAAAATAAATACTAAAATAATCAATGAAAATACTGAAAGAGAGCTGAAGGTTAAAGGAGAACAAGACAAGGAACTGCTATTTTGGGACATAAGCTTGTTTGTATTATTTCTAAATAATCTGCATGTAATTATTTTATAAATACTAAAATTAACTGTAGAACATTAAAACTTCATATGTAAATAATAGCATTATATAAAGGTTAAACCACATGAAAATGAAGAAATAAATAAAATTTTTAGAAGTTTGTTAAGTTGATAAATATATTAGTCTTTTCATTAAATGGACTTAAAAGTGTTAGCCAAGGTTAATGTCAAAGATTTCACATGTAGGTATTTTCTACTGAAACTCTTGAATACGATGAAGAGAGATTTGTAAGCCTCCAGAAATGAAAAGAATTTATGAAGTGGTAGGGTAGGGTGGAGGGTGGAATTGTATTCCAGGGAAAGAGATGCACCAGCACCAGGCACAGAAAACCTGAAGGTTTTTCCAGAAGTAGGGAATAATCGAGATGGATGGCTAGTGTTTAAAATTAATGACCACAAAGAGAAACAAAACTAAATCATTCAGAGTGATTGATAACTGGAGTGTATAATTACTAGCTTGTTTGAACATGCTGCTATGACAAATCTGCATTAGCTTGTTAGTGTAATTTACTCGAGTAAGAAATCTCATCACATAATATTATTTTACTTATTAGATTTAAAAATCATATAATGTACACATGTACACAAAGTCTTTTATTTTCTTTCTTTCTTTCTTTTTTTTTTTTTTTTTTTAAACAGGGTCTTGTTCTGTCAACCAGGCTGGAGTGCAATGGCACAATCTCAGCTCACTGCAACCTCTGCCTCCCAGGTTCAAGTGATTCCCCTGCCTTAGCCTCCTGAGTGACTGGGATTACAGGTGCACACCACCATGCCTGGCTAAATTTTTTTGTATTTTTTAGTAGAGATGGGGTTTCGCCATGTTGGCCAGGCTGGTCTCGAACTCCTGACCTCAGCTGATCTGCCCACCTTGGCCTCACCAAGTGCTGGGATTACAGGCGTGAGCCACCAGGCCCAACCACAAAGTCTTTATTTTACTTATTCTTTCCTTTTTTCTTCCTTCTTTTTTTCTTTTATTTATTTATTTTAATCAGCAATGACTCCATAATTTTTACTGAAAGCTGACTACAGTTTAAGGATCCTGTAGTTTATAGTTTCTGTCTTAATTGTGATTATTAAAAGGAGAAGAAAAAACTCCCAGTGGGGTAGTAACAAACATGTTAACACCACCATTAGGTTGTCACAGTTGTTCTTGTATACCCAAATAGAAAAACTTATTTTGAATTTCTTAGTCATTATTATTGATGAAAATTGTAAATAAGTCTTAGATAAGTATTGCTGCTTCAGTGATATGCTGAGTTTAATAAACATTAATACCTGATCAATGAAATATTATTTAAGATTATTTGAGAATTATTAATCTAGTAAAATGTGATATGTGGTTACTTACCCAACATAAAATCTAAACCAAGATCACATTGTGTAAAATTGTGCTAACTGAAAATAGATCAAAGTTAATCAAATTGATTGCTAACAGGTGTTTCTACCACTTTTTGTCTCAGGGTTATGATGATGGCTACGGGGGTGAATATGATGACCAGACCTATGAAGCTTATGATAACAGCTATGCGACCCAAACACAAAGGTAAGGCATTTGCTATCTAAAGCAGCCTTCTCCAAATTATCTCTTATTAATTTTGTTTCTTGAATCTGAATGTCAATTATATCATGTGAGGATTTCTAGTAGTGTTTTTTCTCCATTATCTCTCTGAATTATTAAGTTGCTTACCAGACTGTGAGATGTAAACTATAATAACCTTGCAACTGCAAACAAAGAAATAGTAGTGTGTCATTCTGAGACTAGATGATTATGGTGACCAATCAATTCATTAAATAAGCTTGCATTTAACTAAATGTTATTTTTAGATTTTTAAAAAAGACAATAATAAAAGTAAGGCACTTGTTCAATATAGCTTTTTTTTTCCTAAAATGTCATATTGATTTGTAAAGATAATAAAATGTCATTGGTACTCTGGAAAGAGGGAAATTCTTGAAACATCTTAGGGAATCAAGCATTCCTTTGCTTTCTTGATAGATCTCATATTGATTGTTGAATATATCTCTTTAGATTGACCCAAAATTTGGGATATAAATGATTGTTTACTTCTTCAAAGTCAGATTTATTGAGATGTTATTTATATATAATGAAATTTACCCATTTAGAATATAGTTGTATATGTTTGGCAGATGCAAACTACTGTGTAACGACCACTGAAGTTAAGATATAGAGCATTTTCACATCCAAAAATGCTTCTTCATGGCCCTTTGTAGTCAACTTCTCCCTCATCCTCAGGCCCTGGAAACCAACTATCTGTTTTTCGTTACCACAGTTTTACCTTCTCTAGAACGTCTTGTAAGAAGAAGCAATACAATAATGTAATGTTTGAGTCTGGCTTTTATTTTTGTTAACTATGAATAAAATAGATGTAAAACAAATGCATTTTTAGAAAATTCAATCACCCACAGGTTTTCTTCTTTAAAATGTTATAAATTTCATAGGAAAATACAGGGGACCTATGTGATAGTTAAGTGAGTCTCCCATTTATGTGATTGACAGAAGCCAATGGAACTTATTGTTGCAAAATCGTTATAGCATTGATCATTTATTGGCCAACTTTATTGGCACCGATGGAGACTTAATTAATAAACCTCCTTTAGGACTTAAGTAATATTTGAGTGAGGGGAAGTGGCAAAAAAGAAACAAGTTTAAGGTCATTATGGATTAGAAGAAATCTACACGTATTGAGGAAGTTTGAGTTTTCCATGGCGTGAGTGACAGCACAGTAAAAGTATTGAAGGGAAATTTTATTTAGAGGGAATACTGTGGGCAATGAGAGATAAGTGTGAACTGATACCTTTAAAGCTAAGTATGACTTAAGTTATCACTGTAGAAATGACCATCACTGAAACTGAATAATTGGTTAATTTGTAGTAAGTTAAATAGAGAAGCCATCATGAGCCAAGAGCTTTTGCGGTAATATCTTATTTGTTCCAATTACATATTGGAAAACAACACAGTTATTTAGGCTTAGGGTAATTTTTGCATCACATTACAGATACTGAACAGAGTATTATATGCAAATTGGCTACATGTTTAGACCATCTGTGAAAATTTTCAATCAAATTGTTAGTTTATCATTATACATTAGCACATAAAAATAGTGATAACAAAGTTCCATAACTAGTTTCAGAAACCCTTGATAGAAAGTGTGGTTACCATACTCGACAAACACAATTAGAATAGACTAAAATAATTTCTTGATGCAGCTCTATAGAGCTACATTTAAATAGAAGACATTTTGGAATAATTTTCTGAAAATGAGGGACTTTCTCTCTCTTATAGTGAGATTTAAGTGGGCTTAACTGACCCTAAGAAACAAGAAGAAAAATATGGGATTAAGATAATTTAGCTTTGAATATCTGAAAAATAAATATTAGAATTATTGAACACACACACACAGTAATGGCTATATACAATAATTTTAGAATAAAACTTGCTTTAATAAAGTATAATTTATATGTAAAGGGACATTTTCTACACACTTCTGCTGTCTTCCCTGTCTCCTTTCCTATCCACTCAATTTTTGTAGCTAAATCCTTCCCATCCTTCCAGCCCCAGCTCAAAAACCAACTCTTCTAAAAAGTCTTTTCTTTCTTGCGTTTTGGGGAATAATATGTTTCTGCCCTGAATTCCAATAGCACCATATATTTACTTTTCTATAGCATTTATTTCTCTGCCTTACGTTGGGATTATTTGTGTACATGTCCCTTATCACTTTCACTATTTGTTCCAAATCCTTTTCTAATACAGCCTCATGTCTTTCACAATACCAGGTACGAGGTCTTTCATGGGATACGCACTGAAGGGATAATTGTTGAGTATGTGAATGTCGAGCCTAATATGTTCTACACTATGGGGATACAAAATAAGAGCCTCATTCCTCAAAGAGAATAAAAAAATCAGAATTACATATATCATATTTACTGACAGAATATTTATGTGCTTCTCTGATACTTTACTGTTAAGCCAGAGGGACAAAGACAGTAGGTAATGCAATTAGTTGCAGTGATGCTAATGTCTATATTACAATAATGATAAAATGCCTATTTTGGTCAAAATTATATCCTCAATACTAGTACAGTTTCTGGAGCACTAGAGGTTCTCAATAAAGATTTGTTGAATAAATACATGAAAAATGAGTAAATGCATTAATTAGTAAACTATTTTTTCAGAAAACTCTGTGAAAAATAATTTTTTTTAATATCATGCCATTTTCTAATTGAAATAGATACACACACTAGAGTTCTTATTAGGTAAGATGTTTAATGCCTGCCTTTAGATTTTTTAAAATCAATTGGATTTTATCAAAATTAAATTTTGTTCTCTAAAAGACACTGTTAGTAAATAAAATGGCAAGCTACAAATTGTGAAGAAATATTAGCAAAATATCTATTTCTAAAGAATATCTTTGATTGTATCCAAAATATGTAAAAACTACTAAAACTTTAGAATCAGATAAATAACCTGACTTTTTAAAAAATGGGCAAAAAATTTGAAAGACATTTCACCAAAGAAGATATACAAATTGCAAGTAAGAATCTAAAATATGTTCAACATCATTATTCATTAGGAAATTTGAAATTAAAACCACGATTAGATACTAGTACAGATTGTGGAATGGCTAACATTAAACAGATTGAATTATCAAATGTTAGTGAGGATGTGGAGCAACTGCAATGCTCATATATTGCTGATAGGGATGTAATACTGTAAACCACTTTGGAAAACAACTAGGCAGTTGCTTATGAAGTTGACCTACATTTACCATATGACCCAGCAACTCTTCTGTTCAGTATTTACCCAAGTGAAATGAAAACATTCATCTGTCATGAAGGTTTGTTGTACAGATTATTTCATCACCCAGGTTTTAAGCCTCATACCATCAGTTCTTTTTCCTGATCCTCTCCCTCCTCCTGAAGGTCAAAAGGCCCCAGTGTATGTTGTTCACCAATGTGTGCCCATGTGTTCTCATCATTTAGCTCTCACTTATAAGTGGGAACATGTGGTATTTTGTTTTCTGTTCCTGTGTTAGTTTGCTAAGGATAATGGCCCCCACTTCCATCCATGTGCCTGCAAAGGACATGATCTCGTTCTTTTCTATGGTTGCATTGTATTCCATGGTGTATACCTACCACATTTTCTTCATTCCGTCTATAAGTGATGGGCATTTAGGTTGATTCCATGTCTTTGCTATTGTGACTAGTGCTGCAATAAACATACACATGCATGTGTTTTTATAATAGAATGATTTATATTCCTTTGGGTATATGCCCAGTAACGGGATTGATGGGTAGAGTGGTATTTTTGACTTTAGGTCTTTGAGGAATCATTACGTTGCCTTTCACAATGGCTGAACTAATTTAATAATAAGCCTTCACTTATATTCCTGAATGTAAAAGTTTTTTTAAAAAGAAAATATAGTAAGAAAGAAGAAGATAAATACAGCCACCCAGAAATAGCTGTTGTGAACATTTTTGGAGTATCTGTTTATCAATGTGTCATCTTTTTATCTATCTTTCATGTGTGTTAATACATCTACCTATATTTGCAATCATATATTACAAACTGTTTTTAAATTTAATTTTAACTCACCAGCACATAAGAACATCTATCTATGTTAATAAATACATGTCTACAACATAATCTTTAATGGCTGTAGATTGTTTCATTGTATGATTGGATCACAATATAATCATTCTAGTACAGTTAAATGTTTAAGTTATTTTTAATTATTTATAACTCTAAACAAATATATGATTAATATCTTTGTAGCTAAATCTTTTTTTTTTCTTCAACTTTTATTTTAAATTCAGGGGTCCATGTGCAGGATGTTCAGGTGTATTACATAGGTAAACAAGTACCATGATGGTTTGCTGCACAGATTATCCCATTACCTAGGTATTAAGCCCAGCATCCATTAGTTATTCTTCCTGATGCCCTCTCCCCCTCCACAGCACCCCCCCAAGAGGCCCCAGTGTGTCTTGTTCCCGCCGTGCGTCCACGTGTTCTCATCATTTAGCTCCCCCTTAATAAATGAGAACATGTGGTTTTTGGTTTTCTGTTCCTGCATTAGTTTGCTGAGGATAATGGCTTCCAATTTCATCCATGTCCCTGCAAAGAACAGGATCTCATTCCTTTTTATGGCTGCTTAGTATTCCATGGTGTATATGTACCACATTTTCTATATCCAGTCTCTCATTGTTGGGCAATTAGGTTTAGGTTGATTCCATGTCTTTGCTATTGTGAATAGTGTGGCAGTGAACATATGTGTGCATGTATCTTTATAATAAAATGATTTATGTTACTCTGGGTATATACCCAGTAATGGGATTGCTGGGTCAAATGGTATTTCTGCTTCTAGGTCTTTGAGAAATCAACTCACTGTCTTCCACAACAGTTGAACTAATTTATGCTCCCACCAACAGTGTAAAAGTGTTTCTTTTTGCCTGCAACTTCACCAGCATCTGTTGTTTTTTGGTTTTTTAATAATAGCAATTTTGACTCGTGTGAAATGTTATCCATTT